ATGATGCGCACATACAGCATAATCACCGCCGGCGAAGAGGGCAATGAGAAGAAGACGAGGTTGAAGATGCGTAAAATCTTGAAAATCAAAGATCTTGAAGTCGAGGCCGCTTTTGTCTTTGCCCTTTTCGTTGTCCAGATCACTGTAGGAACATTAGATTACTGCTGCAATAGCAAGAATTGAGAACCTTACATGCGAAAAATACGCGTAGCACCAAAGATGGCGACGTCTACATCTTCGGTCATAACCGCATCAATCCAACCATCGGCGCAAAGCCATGCCAGTTCTGCTTCAGCTTCGCCCGGTGCCTATTATCATATTCATCAGAGATGAAAGGATTGCTGAGATGGAAACTCACCACAGCCCATGCGATACCCATAATAGTTAGGAGAGCCTTGAAGCTCTTAGTGATCCAATGGTCCGTTCCTCGAACATGTGTCTGACGCTTGATGTCAGGTCGTCCTGGCCCATCGAAAACAAAGTAAGGAATGACGGCCGTCATGCTGAAGAGGCGCATTGTGTGTATGAATAGGGTGGCGAGAACAGCATTCCGGGCTTGATCAAGGTGCGCCGTGCCGCGTCGTATCCAGATACTGAGAGTGGTGAGTAAGACAAGCAACAGTGTAAAATTAAATGATCTCACCTAGCATCAATGCCTACGCGAAATCCTCGTACGTTGGCTACGTTCTGAACAAACCCCTCACGAATCGAAATGTCTGTCAGTGATGCTTCGCGTTGGTATGCCTTGAGTTCCTAGAATACACATCAGAAAAGGTATGGGAATCAGCAGCGAAGCATACCGTCCAGAGGCCTTTGACACCCATGGTGGTAGCGGATTGATTGGAGGAAAGGGGGGGACAATCACGAGCAGAGCTAAGTTGTGATCGATGTACCATCAAAGCAATATAATTAGTCGGGAGAGCCTGCGAGACCAATTAGAAATAGAACAGTAAAATAAAGACGAGGAAGAATGTACCTCGGTATGAACAATGAAGACGCGAGCATCGCGAACGCAGCTCCGAAGATGCGCCGCTCTGTTCTGTATCAAGTAATGAATATTGGATATGGATATGAGTATGCCTGGGACAGCAATAGCTCAACGTGCAGTCACAGACCTGCAGATACCTGCTCAAGGTCGGCCTGCCTCTAAACAGGTCCGTGACTGCAAGGTTACACCACTGCTAGCCCAAGTAAGGAGATGTACCTTGAAAACGGTGTCGAAGAGGCACTGCTCCATCGCATGCTCACGCCGACAGCAATCAGCTGTACGCCGACGCGACAATTCATGTCCTGGTTGAAGAACGTCAAGAACTAGATATTCTCCTCGACAATCTCCGCCCATGCCGTCAGAGCCAGACTTCTGCGAGGTAGTCAGAGCAATGCGTGTGTCGAAGTCTTTGGGCTAACAGTTAGGCGATCAGGAATATGGGAATAAGAAACGAAACATACCTTTAGGTCGAAACGGAGATGTGATATCGGGAGCGGGAGCACAACACCAAAGATGCATATCATCAACAGAACGTTAAGCACGATCTGGAGGTGGTCGAGTGCACTAGCTGGTACAATTACATATCTCCCTGGTTATCAAAACCGTTGGGATCAAGCAAAAGTTTCGCAATCAATACGTTTTTCCAGCCCTTGACTCGCCACCTCTGACAGCTCGGTCTCTGAGTGAATGTTCTCCATCATAGTCTGGAAACCGTACAAGCAACGTGCCTCCGCAGCTGTGCCTCCGCAGCCTGGACCTCACTAGAAAAACGCTCGCCAAGGTTCTCGTTAACAATACGGTCGGAGGTAGCGAAGAATACGAGGATATGGGAAAGGAAGTGACACTCGTTGTTGGTTAGGCGGTTGTTCCACGAGTTGTACGCCGGTGCGTCGGTGCAGCGCACCCATGAGTTTGGACTGAGGAGCCCTCAGTATTCCATAGGCCCACCCCGACGAAATCGTTGAAATGAAACAACCCCCACGTGGGGGTTCAACTCAGACGTGCGGTGAACCCAAGGGAATCTGAACCGTGGTAGGTGTGGGAGCGGTGCACCCGGCACCTGGCCCGCATCGAACGCGCAACGTACCAACGCGCAGCGTACGAGGCAAGAGGTAGTGGTAGTGGTGGGGCCTGAATCGAACGCGCAACATACCAACGCGCAGCGTACGAGGCAAGGGAGAGTGGGTGCAAGTAGTCCATGGCTGAATCCTCGGAGTGGGGAAGCATCGACGGATGAGGGAAGTTGTCGTGAATTGACATTGTCCAAAAGCAGCGGTGAGTACCAGAATGTGTTTCCGTTACCCAAAGGATGGGACCAGAGTTGAAACTGAAGGATGAGGACAATGCGTAGTTGGTGAAAGGGAAGTCCATAACCGCTGGGAATGTAAAGTAGCCCAAGATGTCATCGAGTAATCATCAAAGGAGCTGTCCGATACAGCGGGGAAGGCAGTTCTCTGGAAATTGAACAATAAGTTGTACCCCGGCGCTCTTGAATATAGAGTGCGCTTCATAAGGAAGTAACCAAGCTGAAAAGAGTCAGAAAATTGCACAAAGAAAAGAAAAGATGACATACCAAAGAAGGAAGCCAACAAGACGTAGAGCTTGAAGCTGCTGTCCACATCGGGGGACGCCTCGGTGGACGCGCTCGGTGGACGCCTCGGTGGCGAGGGGTCGTCTTCACCTATATTTATTGTAATCCACAGAGAAATCTGAGGAACAATTCATTAGTGAACGCGCCAGACGCCGAAGGTTGAACATACCATCAGCACTAGAGCATCTTTGTTTGCAGCTGACAATAGCCATATTGGCAGCAAAACCGCTCCAGTCGTCCAGTTGGAAGGCGTCGATACTGCTTGGCAATCGCCAAAGCAAGAGGACTGGCAATCGCCAGGTCCCAGGAAGAAAGGCCGGGAAGCTCGCGGTAGGGCGACAATGGAGGCTTGTGCGTGTGTGTGGGCTGGGTGTTGGGTTGGTGCATCTGAGGTGGTAGGTTGGCGTCGTCTCTGGGCTGGGGTGTTGTGTTTGAGTAGAGGGCGTCGTCAGGTTGAGGGGAGCACGTCCGAGGCGCGGCTCACACCCCCATGCGACGGGCAACAATTCTTCGGCGAGGGAGAAGTAGCGTCGAAGATGCGCCTCCAGCAGGAGAGCCAGTTCCAATACATGCTGTAATCGGGCGGGCCTAAACCCAAAACACCTCTGCGTCGAGGTCCAATTACAGCTGTAGCAGTTCTTAGCGAGCCGGCAAACCTCAGACGGTTGGCGTGAAATTCCGGGGAGTGTGGAAAGAGTGAGTTCACGTGAACAAGGATGGCGGTCTGGTCAATGCGTGTCGCCGTTGTTTGTCTAGAAACAAAATTGTAAGCTCAAGAAAATGTGACAATAAGAATGATGCGTACTCGTTCTGCCTATTGGTGAGAGAGGCGGCCACTGCACTTGATGGAAGTCTTGGTTTTGAGAAGATAGAAGGACAGTGTCGGGCGCCAGAGGCCGGACGCGATTAGGTGAGAGAATAGGGTAAAGCCATTTGAGGCTTGCAAGTGGGCGGGCGTGTGTCGGAAACACTGACAGGACGGCGTCATGAGGGTTGATGGTAGTGAACGGCGGCGGTGACAATGACGAAAAATTGCGAGGTAGTTGCGGCCGAGAGTAAACGCAGGTCGATGTGTCGTTGGGAGATGACCGGCAAGTGTAAGTGTGTCCCACGCGTTTGATCAACAAACACGACCAACGGGCATCACGTTGGACGGTCCCGCGCAGGTCCCGCCTTGAACGTAGCGTGAGAGGGCACAAACGTCTTTTCCGAAGCCTGGCTCACCTTCACGAAATATTTGGCAGGGCCAGAAGTGAAATCAGAACACGAAAACGACATTTCAAGTGACCCGGACGACATTTCTGATTGATGAACCGCATGGTTCATTATTCATCATCGGGTCATTCCTTGTAGTCCTAGACCCTGGTCGCATGTCAGCCGCCTTGTATCAATGTAAAAAACGCGTTAAAACGCGTTTTTTTCCCGCGTGACGCGTGGATATATTCTTGATCTCCTGCTGCCGCCTGCCGGCTCTACGACTACCTACCAGTAACCATTCATTCGACCACTATCATCTTAACGTTTGTCACTCCATCTTCGAGCGCCACAATGCCACCTACAACTGCCCCAGTCAACCTTTCCATCGCGGAGCTTGTCCCAAGGTAGGCATTATTATTATTTTGTTTCCACCCTCTGCTTTCCTCCGGCCATGCAAGCCATTTCTCATTTTTTGGGAGGATATACTTTACAAGTTCCGTGTATGGTACCTCGAGCTCTGCCCCGGCTGCGAGTACAACCACTACATAGCGTGCTGTCCTCATTTTTTCCTCCCTTCCTGTCTCTTTTCCTTGTCTCCCTTTTCTCGCTCCGTCTCGTATCGCGCTCTCTCGTAAAAGAGTCTTATCCGGGGGCAAGGGGGCAAGGATCTTCTCCGTCGTAGCGCGAATTTTGCGCCCACGGCGGGCAGGTGTCGCCGCGTCGTCGAATGACTAGTCGGGGCGTGGCCTGGATGTGCGTGGGGTTCGAACCCTTGATGGTCACAGCCCGTCACTGATCGGGCAACGTCTTTTCCTGTCTCGACAGGTTCACTTCATGTCTGTTTATGCACGTTGAACCGGAACCAGTCGGAACTCCGACTGGTGAGCAGCGCGATCCGTGATAGCAGATATGGCCAACATCAAAGTGAATGTGCATTTGCTGGACTGGCTGTCCCGGATTTCGATCCTGCCTCCCAAGTCTGAGCCCTGTGGCATCCCATCATCCTGTCTAGCCTAAGCCCTACGTTACCTACCGCCACCTTGCCACCACCAGTCGACGACGACGTCTCTGTACAGTGTACGCATGCCGCTTAACATAGAGGATGTGCGATCTGGTAGCTCTGGGCCTTTTGCTTCTTGAAAGTCGGAGGGTTAATAGGCTGAATCCATTTCTTCAATTGAAGAGAGAGAAAAAAAGCTTTCCCAAGACAAGAGAATCACGAATTGGACACTGTGGGAGTCGAACCCACGACCTTACGCAATGCCTTACAAGTGCGAAGCGTACGCGCTACCAACTGTGCCAAGGGCCCTGTCACATGTGGCGGCGCTCAGTCAGCCATATTCTAGAGATCTGAACTTGAGTGGGCATGGGCCGACAAGCGGCGAGGCACAAACCTTTCATTTTCGGGAGTAATACAGAGAGGGTATCGTACACAATTTAGCTACGAAACGAACCGTGCCAGGGTCTCGCACCGGAAACTCGTAGTAACTCACGTGATCTAATCACCACGTTCCATGTACCTCCTTCTCACTTTCAGCTGGATTTGCAGGTGTTTCTCAAGGTGATGTCTGGCGCGTTGCCTTCAAAAACGAGAGACGGTACGCGCGGGAAGTGGTTCAGCAGGGCCTGGGTGCTAGGAGAGATTGCGTATTTGAAAGTAAAGCTTCGCAAGAAGTCAGCCCGGGCCGCGGTGGGGATTGACGAGGTGTCGTACGCGACACTGCTGTTGGTGCCTGACGATAAGTTGCTGGTGTTGTTCAATGAGTGCATCGATGCCCTTGGTGCTCCTCAGTCATGGTTGACGACGATTTTGATTGGCCTGCTCAAAGTAGGAAGGAAGTCGTCAGATGCTGATGGCTATCGTTTGGTTGGGCTGGAAAGCTGTCTCCTAAAGGTATGGCTTCTTGCTCAGCCGGTACTCGTTGTGTTTTAACTGCCTGTAGATGATGACAATGCTGATCGAGCGACGGTTGCGTAGTTGGGCAGATGAGAACGAGACAATTCCTGATTCACAGAATGGGTTTCGTCCCCACTATAGGACTTACAACAATTCCTTCATTCTTCGGTGTGCGATCGACCGCACTCGTGCGCAGGGTCAGACACTGTACGTGGCGTTTGTCGACTTAAAGAATGCCTTCCCCTCGACGGATGTGCCTACACTGTGGATGAAGCTCTACAATGCTGGTGTCTCTGGTCCAGTCTTTGATTGGCTGCGGATGCTGTACGCGAGGATGAATTATGTTGTCCGTCATAAAGATGAGGTCACGTCCGCCTTCAAGTCGCTTATACTGTAGACTTTAGTTCAATTCATCAGTCACAGGTCACAGGCGACCCGGATCTGACGAAATGTCACAGTTGTCACTTGAAATCTTGTGAAAACTGCCCCGGCGGGGCCCCCGCGGTCCTCCCGCCGCCGCTCCGCCGCGGCGGCTATTGCCTTATATAGTAATCTGACGAATTCGAAATTTCGTCAGGCAGGTCACACGTCACATGGCCTGACGAATTGATTTAAAGTCCACAGTAGGTCTCTTGACGGGGGATCCAATAAGCCCAATTTTGTGGGATATTTTCTTTGCAGATCTTGGGAGCACGGAGGGCATGTCCGCGGACGACGACTTGAGGTTGGCGGGAAGAGCGATCTCGCATGTGGAGCAGGCGGATGATGTTGCTCTGTGGGCTACTTCCCTCATGCGGTTGCAGGAGAAGCTGTCTGCTTTCTTTCTCTGGTGTCGCCGGAACTTCGTCACGATCAGTGTCTCAAAAACGAAGTGGATGATGTTTGGCCCCATGCCCGAAATCTCTGCATCCCAGATCCCGCAGCTGTTTGTAGATGGTGCATTGATCATGTTCACGGTGGAGTACAAGTTTGTCGGTATTGTGTTCACATCTTGTGAGCGCGATATTTTTCGAAAGCATTATGAGCGGATGGCTCTCAAGGCAAGCTCAGTTACTTCGTTGACATTTGCTGTGTCCGTTCACATTGGTGTTCTACCCGTGCGCGAGGGCCTTCGCATGTATAGGGCCCAGGTAGACCCGTATTTTATCCTGGGGTGTGAGGTCGCCTTGGACGTCTCTAGACAAAGTCTGCGCCTCCTCGAGTGTGTCCAGCTCTCGTTCCTCCGTCGGTTACTCGGCCTCACTGCGCGGTGTTCGACTGCTGTGCTGTTCACAGAGACGGGTGTGCTGCCTCTCCAGTATAGGCGGCTGCTTGTCGCACTGCGATTTTTTAGATACCTTGTGAAACTGCCACTCAATCACTTCGCTGCATCCGCATCTATGGACTCATTCCTCCTCCATGCCGCAGCGCTTTCTTCCTGGTCCATGGATATTCGATATGTACTCGAAAATCTGCCAGTACCGATCTATGTCTCTTGGTCATTGACTGCGCTGTCTGCTGAAGACTGGCACGACAGTGTGGTGTCGCGAGTCATAGTGTCGTGCAAGAAGGCCTTGTGGGGCGAGGTGGCTGCGTCGCGTAAGCTTTCCTTAATGACTTTGATGCTCAGGCGGCGCTTACGGATGCTGCGCGGTCCGGCGCACGAGTTGGGCGTAGCGCCTTATCTCCATGTGCCCACGTCCGCTCATCGTGTGGCGCTTACGCGACTCATGTGTTCCGACCATTCCTTCGCAGTGGAGTTTCTGCGTCGACCGGTTACGCAGCGAGCACGGGTCATTCCACGCCATTGGAGGCTGTGCCGGTACGGCTGTGCACAGGTCGAGGATGAGCGGCATGCCATCTTGGACTGTGATGCAAATGCTAGGGTGCGTCAGATGCGGGGTGTCTTCTGGTCCGAAGTTGTTTCGTGCGGAAGGCTGAGGGCGCGGCTGACCGAGGTGCCTGTCATGTCCCCAGAGGTTATTGTGATACTGGCGATGGAGTCGAAAGTGGTTTCCCGTTTTGCACGGTTTGTGTTTGAGGTTGAGCAGGAGTTCATGAAGACAGAATATTTCATTGTGGACAAGTGGTTGTATACACCGTTGACTGGACCCGCGCCTGTACATTTACACCTTACAGCTGTGTATAATGATAATGTCAGTTGAATTTGAGAACATGTTAACGACTTGAAAAGGTCAAGTGCTAGTTGAATTGGGGATCATGGTGCGAGTTTGTGTAGGTTGAGTGCCGGAAATTCGAACCCTGCGTGGGGGGTAGCGCAGACAGTGTTCGTTGCCTGCTGAGTGGGACACGTGAGCCGGCAACTGGTTTTGTCGGACAAAGCGCTGTTCGCTCAGTGGCCCGTGGCTGCCTGAACCGGCGGGGCAGTATGCGGGACCTGGTTGCCGTAAGAACTCGGTAATCGGGTGTATTACCTCCATCATAGCTCATAGCTCATAGCTCACCACGTTCCCGCAATTGCCGGACAAGAATTGGGCATATCTGGTCTCCGATCTCTCCCTCTTACTACCACAACGCGTCGGTGTAGACGTGCTCGTCGGGCTTGCAACTTTCTTTGGGCCTTCGTTTCTGTCTTGCTCTTTTGGTGGACTGAACTTTTCGGTGCTGTTACCCTCGGATGCGCTCGAGTTCGCCTGGTGTTCGTCTTCGCGACGGCACCATTATGAGGCAGTTACTACGTGGCGTATGCGCGCTCAAGATGCCGTATTTGCGTCCGCTTACCTCACGCACGGGTCACGATACGCGTAAGCTCGCTGGAGCGGTAGTAAAAATAATAAGTACTTGCAACTGCTCATCCGGTAGATGTGCCTGCTCTGTTCAAGAGTGTGCTTCCAGAACGGGTAACTGAGATGTAGCCGCCGTGTTGGCTGCTGTCAACGCGGCGGGGCGGTATGTTTCCATTTTCTTCTTTTTATTTGTTTCAGCGCTGTTTGCTATACTACTTTGACGTCGCTTCGTGTCCGGTGAATCTGTTTTTCGTTTTCATTGACGTGTCTACTAAAGAGACAATAAAGTGGACCCATCCTGAAACTATGGGCGATAGACCGCCCCCCCCCATCCGGAGCTGACGTCGTATACGTCGTTGATGCCACCACCCTCTCCTCGCTCCATCACTACCCCGTCTCAAAGGCATGTACAGCGCATGCAGCCCCTTGTTATTGCATCAGGCTGCGCGTTTGGCATGAATCTCGGACGCGTCTGTATACAGTTACGGAGATTAAATAAGGAATTTACCTCACTGAGACATTACCCTCTTCCCCCTCTTCAATTCTGCCGCCATCGACAATACGATGAGTGTATGCTTCGTGACCCTCCGGATATTATTCCCGCCCTCATTAACGTTACTTATTCACAGTCTCCGACATCAGCTCTCGTTGATCTACCCGTCGAGCTCCTCCATCTCATCTTGGAGCAATGTGGCGGTTATCTCAACTCGATCAGTCGCGCACACCGCATCATCAGACGTGTCTGCTTGCCATTAATGTTTCGCCATATACAATGCAACGGACAATGTCGGTCGACGTGCAAGGTACAGAACCTACTTTCGCTGCTGCAAAACCCACTTTGCAGTCCTCTCCACCGCGAAATCAAAGTTCTCACCCTAACGTCTGTCCCATCTTTCGATGCTGCCTTTCTTGTGCAGCTCTTACAATATTGTTCGCCATCGCGAATCACCTTTCGAAGATGTGGCGTGCCCGCTACCCTGCCTCTACATGTTTACCGCGAGTCTATCGTATTAGACGACTGCGAACTCTTCGAAAGCGTATTAGACGCCATACTGTCTGAAGCCGAACATTTAAAAAAACTGGAACTCACCGCACTTCATAGTGTGATCCAGACCTCATACAGATCTTCCTCAGCCCCGCTTTGCTCCCTCCAGCACCTGTCTATTATCCATTTCCCTCCACAAGACTTGGTGCTTCGTCGTGTTCCAACTTTCATCATGCTACGGAACAGCAATATTTTCCACCATCAGGATGGGCATCCCGATTGTTAATGGAAGCCGGCCCGCGAGGTCGTGAGCATTGTATTTTGGAGGCGTATTCCACGCATCGTTCGCGTTCTGGCCGTATATGCATAGACATAAACATATTAGTTCATGAAGTAAAAGCGCAAACGTCACTGGAACATACCCGTTAATGATATCCGACGCCGCCCTCTGCCTACAGTATCATAGGAGTAATATATGCCAAAGTCTTGACCAGTTGCAGAAGCAAAGGATTCCGTCATGCGCCAGTTATGTGCCTCACGTATAGCGTTTGTGTACGTGATGAGGGGTGGCGCCCATTCCGGACCCCGGTCTGCGTACCCACTGCAAGATGTCGGTATGCGCAACAGTTGTTGGATCAGATGATTTTAAACTGAGGTTCTGCAGGTACTTGAGATCGCTGTCGTAATAGTAAAGAGGTCCA